CACTCGCACACACACACACACTCACACTCACTCACACTCACACACTCTCTCTCACACACACACACACACACTCACTCTCTCTCTCTCTCACACTCACACACACAGACACACTCTCTCTCTCACACACACACACACTCACTCTCTCTCTCTCTCACACACACACACACACACTCTCTCTCTCTCTCTCTCTCTCTCTCTCTCTCTCTCTCTCTCTCTCTCTCTCTCTCTCTCTCTCTCTCTCTCTCTCTCTCTCTCTCTCTCTCTCTCTCTCTCTCTCTCTCTCTCTCTCTCTCTCTCTCTCTCTCTCTCTCTCTCTCTCTCTCTCTCTCTCTCTCTCTCTCTCTCTCTCTCTCTCTCTCTCTCTCTCTCTCTCTCTCTCTCTCTCTCTCACACACACACACACTCACTCTCTCTCTCTCTCACACACACACACACACACACACACTGATGTTCCGCGGCTGAAGCTGAAGTTCTCGAACAGTTTCAGGTTTGATGTTTTGAGTGACTCTGATGTCTGTAGTTTATCATCACATAAAACGGTCCGTCTGTACGTGTCATAAATCACTGAGGTAAACTTGTGTGAAACCGAGGTAAAACTGAGGTAAACTTTGTCGTGTGTGTCTGTAACGTTACATGTGTCATAAATCACTGAGGTAAACTTTGTCGTGTGTGTCTGTAACGTTACATGTGTCATAAATCACTGAGGTAAACTTTGTCGTGTGTGTCTGTAACGTTACATGTGTCATAAATCACTGAGGTAAACTTTGTCGTGTGTGAGGTGAGTTTCGGACAGTGGCTTTATTTATGTCACATTTATGAAACATCGTTGATATCGATCAAACCGATCGTTTATAAGGCGCTCCGGCGCGCGGCTGTTATTATCCCGCGGATGTGATGATGATGATGATGATTTGACATGACTGTGATGTTTGTGCTGAATTATCAGCTGCTCTCGGCTCGGTCTCGGTGTGTTAGTCACGCCCGATGTTCCCTGAATCACGGCGAGAGTCCCGGGCTGCTGCCGCCGCTGCTCTTCCTCCTCCGGCCGCGCTGCGCTCTTCCTCCTCTTCCTCCTCTTAAAGCGGAACGCACTCCTTTAGCGCTGGCGCACGTCTCTCGCTCGCCGAAAGCGTTTGTGTGAGATTCAGATGTCTGTTTGACGGATGATCATTCGCTGATAAAACAAGAAATATTTCCATGAACTCCATATGCAGAATGATGAATATGTTACCAACTGAACAGAAACATTCTTGCCTCTGAAAATGCATGAAGGCAAGTTTATTGATATACATAACATACAATTAAATTGACAGTTAAAAATTCATAAAAAGGCTCAAAGAAATAAATAAGTAAATGGAATAAACTAATTGAATTAAAATAAAGGAACACATTACAAGGAATATGGGAACAGCAGCAGAAGTGTCATTTATGACCTTCATGTGTTTATATCCCAACACTACTCTAACTGCACACCCATCTGTGCTTTATTGTTTGTGTTCAGTGTTGTTGATGGTTCAGGCGTCACCGGCTCTGATATAAACCTGAAACACCTGATACACATCTGAATCTGGAGCATCTTTCATATCATTATTAGATAGCATCCAGCTATAAAAGCCTGCTCTACGGTAAAGCATTATAGATGACTTTCTGTAAAGCTGATTTGAAACTACTACACTGTAAAAGTTGTAAATAAATTAGTTTATTGGAGTACGTTTTACAAGGAAATACAATCTGTTTGGGTCTGCACGCCGCCTGCAAGAAACACCATAGACATGATCTTGTGTTTATTAGGACTATAACACATATTACATGATGAATACTAATATCACTCGTTTTTGATTGCTCTTGTTTATCACGTTGATTTGAATTGGATAATCTTGCACCATATTGATATAAAAATACAAAAAGAAGGAGATTTTATTCCATTCATTGTTATCAAGCGTAAGAAAGTATATTAAACGTTACAGATCAGTGTTACAATTCCACAAATCTAAAGTCTTTCTGAACGTATATAAAGCGGAAGGCTTTTTATTATGACATTATCATTAGGAATTGATTAGATGGTCAAAAGTGCTTGATAAACGAGCGATGGATGACTTCAGCTGTGAGGAAAGTCCTTTCTGAGGTGGAGTGAGTTATTCATATTTAGTAACTGGAGTGTGTGTGTGTGTGTGTGTGTGTGTGTGAAGATCTTTGTAGCTTCGTGTCGTTCTCCCTCGTGTGTCACTCGGCGCGTCTGACGTGTTTCGGCTGAACCGTCTTCAGTTCGCTACGGCTTGTTTTGATGCTTGATGCCTGCTGATGCTGAAGCATCTGTGTTTGTTGTCGGTTGCCATGACGTTAGGATGCTGAAGCCGTTGCCGGGTGATGGAAGCTAACAAATCACATACATACTGAGACGCAGGATAATCACATATTCCTGAAGGGTGACACTCGGGCTTGTTTAAACATGACGTGGGCTGCTGGACGCTATGTAGATGTTTTGTCAGAGAGTTTTTAAGGTTACGTTGCTCGACTGCATTGCATTTGCATGTGCTGGCGGTAAACCACAGCTGCAGATCTCCGGCCTGATGGGAAGCGTGTCGGTGTGAATCATCACATTCTAGCGCTCTACTCAGAGTTTACTGACACTAGTGTTCATCGGGACACTTTAACCCTTCGCTGGCTGTGTCTACATGACTCTCACACACTGCAGTCAGTGTGGATCCTGATGCATTTATCATCACTGCTGGTTTCACTGATCTCAGTGGTGAACCAGAGTATTAATATTTTGCACAAATTAAGCATGATAGTTGACACCCAGAAATGATCATTCTGCATCATTTGTGTCCTTGTAACCTGTTCTTTTTTATTCGATATTTTGAGAAATGTCTCAGGGATTTTTGTCCATGCGATGAAAGTCAATGGGGTCCAGTGTTGTCTGGTTCCCAATGTCTTTTGTGTCTGTCATACAGGTTTGAATGACACGAGGGCGAGTAAATGATGACACAATAATGATTTCTGAGTGAACGATCCATTTCAGTAGTCTTCATGTGCAGAATGTGGGCGTGTTTTTGAACCACAGAGACGCTATAATGAGACAGAAGCTCTGATTAGCCTGTGGCTTAGAAATGAATCGTCTGCTGGTTTGTGAAAGTGCAGCATGTTTTGTGTCTCTGTTCAGTCAGCGATTCTGATTCAGAATCACATGTTCCTTCAGGAGCAGAAGGAGACTCATCTTCACTCACACACACACACACACACGGACGGACAGGCACGTAGGTCACGCTCAGCGTTTAGAGGAGCGCTGTAGGAGAGGTCATTACATCAGACGCTATAAATACACTCTGCGCAGACACTTCCTGTGGCCTGACGCGAGCGTGAGCCCTGCAGAGACACTGACTCTACGCATATCTGGAGACACAGAGGTCATCACGGGGTCTGTCCCAACTCTAGTGAGCTCCCTACTAAAGCATAATCTTCACCGAAGCAGAACCTCATTCCCGACTCATTTAAATAACACTTGATTCAGTGCATGGCGTTAAACTCATGACGTGATACTCTAATGAGCATAATGACGATTTTTGATCGTGGATGATTAAAATGTCTCCACGATCTGCTTTTGATGAAATATGGTAGTATCGCACTACAGTGCATATTCTATCAGCTGCAGTTCTGCCGTCTCTCAATATACTGTACAACGTCACATACATTCACATCAAATGTTACTCAGCGGTAGAGTTACGCTCACGGGACGCTGCACTTATTCTCAATCACAAAACTACATTATTTGCATTTCATTGGCGTGCTGTTCTGTCATGTGCTTTTTCTGAGCGCGTACACCTGAAGCGTGCGCACACTACAAATCCTGTCAAACACCGCCTGATTACTGGACTGAGTTATCTTTCACATCTGATTGCGCTAATACTGTCAAAAACACACAAGCTTTACATATAAACACAGTTGGTTATGTCTAAAGTGAAAGTAAACAGTTGAGAGAAAAACAGATGCATGCCTGGATATTAGATGTGTGCAGGTCTTAAAGTGACAGCAGACTAATAATACTAAACATGCTGCCGCTTGATTCTTCAAAATAACTTTTGTGTTCAACAGAAGAAAGAAACTCATTCAGGTTTAAAACAACTTGAGAGTGAGTCAATGATGACAGAATTTTTATTTTTGTGTGAACTGTCCCTTTAATGTTAATAAAACAACAAAACAGAGAAAATTTCCCACTTTGGCCTAAATATCTGCCATTCTTTTTTATTTTATATTTTATTTTATATTTTGTTACCTTGTAAGGCTGTGTTTTTTAAAATAGGGAAATTAGTTTGGCTGTGCTGCTCAGACAACTTCCAAAATAGTAAAACCAACATCGTGATAAAATCGTGAATCGTGATTTTCCTGAAAAACATCATATGATATTTTTGCCCTATCGCCCACCCCTAGACTGGATATTTATTTAAAATTTTCATAGAGCTTGTTGCAATGCATTCTAGGATTTGGCAAGGTATGGCAGTTACTCCCTTTGTAGGCAGCTCACTGGAACAGAGCTCTGTGTGTGTGTGTGTGTGTGTGTGTGCGTGTGTGTGTGTGAGTGTGTGTGTGTGCGTGAGAGTGTGAGTGTGTGTGTGAATGAGAGTGAGTGTGTGTGTGTGCGTGAGAGTGTGAGTGTGTGTGTGAATGAGAGTGAGTGTGTGTGTGTGCGTGAGAGTGTGAGTGTGTGTGTGAATGAGAGTGAGTGTGTGTGTGTGCGTGAGAGTGTGAGTGTGT